GGTGTTCAGTTTCTAGCAAGCTCTCTAACAAATCAGTTACCCTGATTTTACGAGTATAAGGCGCGGGGGGGATCTCATATCGAACAGCATATACACGCCGAAAGATTTCGAGACCAAAAAACTATATACAGAGCTGCATATTGCCTGAAAGCATCGTGCGGTATAAGTCTCATTTTTTTAAATAGAGCGAGGCAGCAGAGCAGCTCGCTTGAAAAATTGAAAAAGGTGCTTATCAATCCGAGAACCCTGCAAAAACGAAATCATCAACTTTACTGAAACAATTACGATATATAATGTTAAGCTTTCCAAGATTGATAGTTGCTTCCTTTATTGCCAGTAACAGTTAACAATCAGTACGGTCTACGTTTCGGCGAAGATCGCCTTCTTCAAGACCTGGAAGCGAGTCAACGTGTGCAGTAATTCACTCCAAGGGTAGACATACTTTCAACAATACTGTGTAGGGTACGCTCACCACTCTGATAACGTGTCAGACCACTACTCGCCGTTTAGTGTGATGGAATGAACTTTCCTTGTATGGTCAGACTGGAATCCACACATTTGTAGGAAAGGGGCGAGTTCATTGCTGACGGCAACCCTTTCTCCTTTCCTGTTTAGTTTAGGACATCTGCATGATATCCAGCAAGCCTCTATGGCTTTTCGCACGGCAATATTCGTTTCTTTGGAAAGAACAGATATGCTGATGTCAAACGCGATGTCCTGGTGGGAAAGTTTTCGATGTGCGCCTAAAGGCGTGGACACTCGCGATTTTCGCATTCCATCCAAATGTTCGTTTATTCTTAGGCACAACGGTCTTCCTGTTTCTCCAATATATTTTTCACCACACATTTTACAAGTTATAAGATACACAGTACCTCGGCACATGCAATCTCCCGGTTTATTGGAATTGCATACAATGCAGTCCGCCTTCACACACGCTTGATCATGACTTCTATTGCGCACTAGGAGCTGTTTTAGGTTCGGAGGCGGGATTTCGACAAGTCTTAGCGAATTTTGCAAGCCGGATTTATATATGCAACTCCTGATAGCAGCGCTTAACTTATTAGATATAAAGGGCATAAAGAATGGCACTCGATCGTTGTTATGGCTGACATCATTGAAAACTTTGGCACTACGACAATCGCTTTTGCTTCTCCGCGGCAGGTAACCATTTGCTTGTGCGATTTGGAAAGCCTGTTAAATGATGCGGACCTGAGAGCGTCATCAGAAGACACTCCTTTTGCTGTACGTAACATGTGTCGGATAATGCTAAGTTTCATTCGGATCGGGTGTGTAGAGGAGAAGTGTACCAGTATGTTTTTATTGCTCGGTTTTCTGAACCAGCTGATTTTGTATTCTCCTTTGTACAAGCAGATCTGGATATTTAGAAAAGGTAGCCATCCCTGCTTAGGTGTTTCTTTCGTGATTGAAAAATACTAAATTCGGTGAGAATGACGTCATTGAATCTTTTGACGTTACTTCGCTCTTCACAAATGTTTCAAACTCGGATGCTTTGCAAGCCGTCTTCGAACTACTGACCGAGAAAAGCAACAGCATCAATTTCTACGGCTTGAACATCCAACAAGTCATGACATTGTTGAAGGAAAGGAATGCTTAGAGTGTTCGATTTTCAAATGGTCGGGACAGTACTACAAGCAAATTCGCGGGCTCGCAATGGGCCAACGTTTGGCACCTATCTTAGCAGTTACATTTATGTCGAAAATAGAAGAACCCATAATCAACCGCAAACCTATCCTTTACTTGAGGTATATCGATGACACACTCATCGTCTGCCCCACGCAAGCGGAAATGGACCTATGTTTTGACATACTAAATAATCAAATGGCTGACATCAAATTCACGAGAGAAACACCTAAGCAGGGATGGCTACCTTTTCTAAATGTCCAGATCTGCTTGTACAAAGGAGAATACAAAACCAGCTGGTTCAGAAAACCGAGCAATAAAAACATACTGGTACACTTCTCCTCTACACACCCGATCCGAATGAAACTTAGCATTATCCGACACATGTTACGTACAGCAAAAGGAGTGTCTTCTGATGACGCTCTCAGGTCCGCATCACTTAAGCAGGCTTTCCAAATCGCACAAGCAAATGGTTACCTGCCGCGGAGAAGCAAAAGCGATTGTCGTAGTGCCAAAGTTTTCAATGATGTCAGCCATAACAACGATCGAGTGCCATTCTTTATGCCCTTTATATCTAATAAGTTAAGCGCTGCGATCAGGAGTTGCATATATAAATCCGGCTTGCAAAATTCGCTAAGACTTGTCGAAATCCCGCCTCCGAACCTAAAACAGCTCCTAGTGCGCAATAGAAGTCATGATCAAGCGTGTGTGAAGGCGGACTGCATTGTATGCAATTCCAATAAACCGGGAGATTGCATGTGCCGAAGTACTGTGTATCTTATAACTTGTAAAATGTGTGGTGAAGAATATATTGGAGAAACAGGAAGACCGTTGTGCCTAAGAATAAACGAACATTTGGATGGAATGCGAAAATCGCGAGTGTCCACGCCTTTAGGCGCACATCGAAAACTTTCCCACCAGGACATCGCGTTTGACATCAGCATATCTGTTCTTTCCAAAGAAACGAATATTGCCGTGCGAAAAGCCATAGAGGCTTGTTGGATATCATGCAGATGTCCTAAACTAAACAGGAAAGGAGAAAGGGTTGCCGTCAGCAATGAACTCGCCCCTTTCCTACAAATGTGTGGATTCGAGTCTGACCATACAAGGAAAGTTCATTCCATCACACTAAACGGCGAGTAGTGGTCTGACACGTTGTCAGAGTGGTTAGCGTACCCTACACAGTATTGTTGAAAGTATGTCTACCCTTGGAGTGAATTACTGCACACGTTGACTCGCTTCCAGGTCTTGAAGAAGGCGATCTTCGCCGAAACGTAGACCGTACTGATTGTTAACTGTTACTGGCAATAAAGGAAGCAACTATCAATCTTGGAAAGCTTAACATTGGCCCGTAGTAAAGCTCGATCAGTTGAGGTGAACTCAACTTAACCCATCAGTTCACCGCACGTGAGGTGAACTGATGACCACCCACCCTACCATGCTATAAGATGGTCAAGTCAACTGATAGTTGACGATCTGTCCACCTGCTGCAGTCAACTCTTCCACATCAGTTCACGTTCAAGTCACCTCAACGTGAACGGATGTTAGAGTGATCTAAATAGTGTGTAGATGAGGAGACGCAGACAAGAGGTGACTGCATCTAACATAAGTTGCTCCTGAGTAACTTACGATACACACAACTTTGCCAAAAAATGCAGACAAAATCGGCGCAAAACTGCACAATACCGGCGCCCGAAAAGGGAAGGATCGATGAACAGCTGATTTTGGCGACAAAAGCAAGGATAAAAGTTTTCTTCTTTTTTTTGCAGAGCAATCTCAGTTTCTTGTAAAAACTACTTTAGAAGAGAATCTACTTATTTATTACGTTTTATTTATGTTCCAAAAATTTCAGTTTTTAATGAATTCTCCGTCAAAATATGTCAGTTTTGTTTTATCTGTCCATTTGCTAAGTGATATCCTTGTTAGCGGTCATCATCGATTTTTTTCGACAGTGGCCGCTATCAAAGATTGTCCGGCGATGCAGCAAAAGTTGTGGCGCTAGCCGGTGTCGAACCACAACGCGCGCGTGTGATTCCAATCGCTTATCCGTTTGACCAGACCAGCTCAAGTGGTTGGTTTTTTGAGAACACATGTGGTTATCATGTCTAGGAAGCGATCCACATCCAATCAATAGCTCACTGGATGCTGGACTGAAGCGCGATGACCTCAACTCCGGTCCGCGTCGAGAGAGATGCCCGGATGGGGGGTTTACTACGGGCCATTATATATCGTAATTGACACTATGCCAAGATTGCCAAGACATTTTACTGAAACACTTCTTCAAGCGAAATCCAATAACTTTGCAACAATATCTCCTTTGCTGCTTACCTCCAAATTTACAGACTCTCACAAAAATTCCATTTTGACTGCACATGGAAACGATTAGCTGTGTTCAGGTGTAAAATTACTCTATAATGCAAAGTCTCGACAAAATCAGAGATTTCGCTCATCAGTTATCGACGTATAGATTCAGTTTTGCGTTCAGCTGCGGTGTTCAACTTCCCGAGAGCGCCAGATCTTGAAAAGTCTCCAGCTACTATTACTTTTTTGCAGAAATTAATGAACAAATCTCGAAAATTAGCAATAGTTCTAGGTCGATATGTTCACAGGCTGCGAACTACTTCATATTCGCTTGTAATCGAGTGAAGTTCCGATCAATACTTTTGGAATGCTTGGATTTTTTCTATTTCGTTAGCACTCAAATTGTTTGAGCTCGCTTGTAGCTCACATTGCCTTCTGCATGATGTCAAAGTTTGAGCGCACCTTATTCAAAGAGAGAAAAGTCACGGAAAAGGGTACAAAACTTAATTATCAGCACATTTGTCCCATACAGAATGAGAACTTTTTCTGATAAGCTTGTCCTTAACTGAGAAGGCTTTGGAAAAGCATTAAATCATGTATTACGTAAATTTCGAAATAAATCAGATAGCGATTGCGGAGTCCCAAGTTTGTCAAGCTTTGTTTGATGTATCAGAAACGAAGGAAATAGTTTCTTGATCGAATCGCAGTTCCTTTTATATAATAATTAAGTATGCACAAATGTTTGCGTGAGAGAAAAGTAAGAATCAACCCATGTAAGCATGCGGTGCCAGAATCAGAAGATGTTACAGCTAACGGCTTTGGGAACATTCTAAGATTCTCTAATTCAAAACAATGCCAGAAGAATAACCATGTTTATAGAATTTGCCTAATTTTGACTTGAACGCAAGCTTCTTTGTTACAGTTCCATTACTTTGTTCATGTAAGGCACTAATTTTGATGAATGAGATTTCTTCCATAAATCTTAATTTAATTTTACTTGAGCGACAGCAGCCTAAGTGACCATTCAGTAAAGAATAATGCGAATAAATCAATTTAGGTCAATAAAACACACAGCCAATTTTGTGCCGAGTTTCGCGACGGTTCTTCGCATAAGAGCAGGAAAGATTTCTCTTTCTTCTCGTGATCTGTAAGTTGAATGCTTAAAAGTCGATTTAAATAGTCGCACCTACCTTTTGTACTTTCCATTTATTAAGAGCTGATTTCATTAATAATGAAAATTCGCAAAAAGGAATGCATTCTTGTTTGTAAATCCTTTTTGCAATGTTCTCCAGTTTTATGTTTGGCAACAGCTTTCCAGCGATAAGTTCGAATATCGCTGTATCATTAATGAAAAGAGCATCTGCGAGTTTTTCTGTTTTGCATCGATAATGCTGAAAATCATACTATTAGACCAAACCAAACAAGCACGAATGTGTAAGCACAAGCTACCACGTTATCATTGATTTCTTTAAGCAATTCAATGGCGTCCCATTGTTCAAGACCAAAATAGCCCAAATAGTTTTCACAATTGGGAGGGTCAATATATCCTTTGGATGTGGCAGAGAGGAGCTGGAATGGTTTTGTAAAAAAACCTCCATGATTTGCAGGAACTTACTGCAAGAATAGCACTAAATAGAGAAGACATGGTACATCCTGGTAAATCGCATTTTCATGCTCTTTTATATTTTCGCCTTTCAGTTCAGAATACATTTTTGTGCATGATTTGCAAAAATTTGACACGTCATGTACTTGCAAAACGGTTTCAAAACGAATTCTGAACTGCAATATATTTCACTAGATTTGCCATATAAATATATAAATAACAATCATGAAACTTTCAGGAGTGCTTTGATTTCGACATGTTGAAGGACATTTGCTCTACGTTTTGATTGACTTATTAAATTTCAATCAATACGTAGAGCATTAATTCGTGCTAATTCTATGACAGCTCAGTTCTTAGCCTATCTTAAAGTACAAAAAAAACAAATATACTATAAAAATTGAAAAGAATATTAAAATATCTTTTCTTGAAATATCACATGCGTCACGTTCACTTCCTTTCTATTAGGTTGTCTCATAATTTTTTGATTTACTTCGACGGTCGTCTTTTTGTACCTTTCCTCCAAATGATGCGGCTTGAGTAACCATTTGATAGGACAAAGTAATCTCTACAAGATAGCTGTCAAGAGTCTGCACAAATCGTACTCCACACAAAATTTTGAGCTGAATTATGATGGCAGTCAAAAACGAATGTTACTGTCAAAAATCGTATCTCCGCCGCAAAATATCTAAAAAAAATTCTTATTCAAACTAGGATGTTCTTGACACATCGAACATTCAGAACACAGTTTTCGTAATTTTTTCACGGCTAGAAATAAACCAAAAAAATTGAATGGAGTAAAATGGCAAACTCTGCCCCTAGAAGTCCTAAGCTTCTCCCACACACGTGATCATATAGCTCACTAGTTGGCAAACCCGGCACCGGGCCTGTCAATAATATATTTGTAATTAGCATGCTCGATTACCCCCCCCCCTGTGCCAACTCCCAGCCCTGTAGCTTAAATTTTGCAAAAAATCGATAAAATCGATATCGATCGATGACAAAAGGTAGCCTATGACACCCGCCCACCCCGAAGTGTATGTGTGTCAAGTTTGGTCCGGATCGGTTGAGAAATGGAATTTTCTATTCGGAACATACGTACAGACACACACACAGACACACAGACACACAAACAGACATTCAGCTTTATATATAAGATACATACAGAAGTACGAACATGTAGTTGAAAATTCGAAGGTGCCCCAGTTCTCGAGAAATGCTGATGTTTAAGGTAAAAACGGTGAAAAAATAATAGGACACTCTAATAATGCCCAATTTTCAATCATCTCAAGAGCTTTAAGAAATTCTATCTGGAAAAGAAACTGACTTTATAGGTATTATACCCCCCATACATTCTAGCTCTTTTCTTATAATTTCTTATGTATGCTTAATTTTTTTGAAGCATTTGTTCTAAAATGTTTTCAATTATGATTTGCGAAACATGTGCGAAACATTTTTTGCACAAACATGATTTCTCACTGTTTTTGTTATATGTCTATAATCTTTGCAGTAAGACTACGAAACATTTGATCTTTACCGCAATAGCGGGTTTGATACTGAGCAGTGAAAAGCAGAGAAATGCTTTCGCTCTTTAGCGGTAACAAAAACTGAAAAAAATTGGAAATGTACCTAGAGTAGGTGTGTTTTGAATTAGAGTTCTAAATCCGAGCTAGGCACCGCAATTTCACCGACAACGGCTACGGATGGGCATTGTTTATGCTATTCTTCTACATCTTAATTACGCTAAGCTTTTTTAACGGTAAGTTAATTGCGGCAGATTTGGCGGCAAAAAATCCAAACACTTGACAGCAGTAAAACCTCAATGACTGGTTGAAGTCGAAATATGATCCAGAAACGCAAATAGACAAAATTGACCGACAACACTATGGCACTATGGTCAAAACCAACTTCTGATACATAGAGCCATGTACTCTGATAATTTTCACTTTGAGAGCCATGAGAGGACACAATGTTCGCCTAGAAAAAAAACGGAAATTATCCGGACGAAGCCCCAGATGCTATAATCCTGGCTACATCGGAATGAATGAGGCAAATGCAGGAAATAATACCCCTGGATTATTTTGGCTAAACCGCGAATTTGCGTTCTTATAGCTCTTTTATGCTGAAAAAAAATTTATGTGAAGTCCCCAGAATTCAGGACAACATTTCCCTGGTTGATCTCTTATTTGACCAAAATTGAGCTTTTTTCCGAATTTTCCAGAATTAGCCTTTTCCAGAATTTTAGGAAAGCTATTGGAGTTGCATAAAAACTAAAAACTGCGCTCAAATTGCGCTTAAATCTTGCGCAAGGAGTTGCACAAATTACTGCCTATCTCGTTAATGAGGGTCTTCAAAGCTTGCGACCTTATCAGTGCTCCTCGTCGTTTCATGACTATTAGAATGATATATAATGTTGCAGAGTTTCGTTGAGACCCCGCGGAAACCTACGACCAGAGCCAAATGCCCCGTCGCCTCTGGTCTGACTCCGCTACTTGCCTGCGTCTTCGCGCGCTGCGTGCTACCTCGCTACCCCAAACGCGAGGCGCGGGGCATTTGGCTCTGATGCTCTTTTCTTCGTTGCTTTAAACCCAACTTTAGCAAGTTGTATGTCATATCAAAGCTCTCGATATCTACTTTCATGCTGACAACTCTCAAAAGAACATTTTTTTTGATTTGAACGAATAATTTGGCAAAAACCTTGTTCGTTCAAAAACCTCTTGTTTCTTCCCTAATTTAACTCTTTTCAAGCGGCTTTTCCGTACATTCCATAGATATTGCTTATGCAGACAACGTCCCAGTGCTTATCTCTTCGATTATTGCGGAACTTTTTTGTGAAAAATCGTAGAAAGTGTTTTTTCTTTACCTTGTTCTGTTTCAGCTTTCGCAGCAAATTTTTTTTCAGCTTGAGCGATTTGCTCAGAACAGTGAGCGCAACAATCAAGACAACGTCCCAGGGAATAGGAACGTTAAAGGCAGCGCTCGCCAAAACCGAACGTCCCGAAATTTTGACATGGAAGGTCGCTTGCACCCCAAACATGAGAACAGAGCGCACAGCATGCTGCCCTTGCCTGGAAAACCCCGTTACGCGCAAACATTCTGATACGCGCGAACGAGCTTGCGATTCTCTCTGACCCGAGAAAGGATGCCGCAATGTTATAATTGCGAGGGTCCCGCAACGATTCTGCATCTCTAATCATGGCGGGACGTGCTCCACTCGTATAAATTCAAAATGGGAGGCCTTGGGAAATGATGGTTTTTGCCATTTTCTAAGGCCCTTCAAGGTGGATCTTCGGAATCAGCGCCGCGATTACCCTAGGTAAGCAAAAAAAAATTCAAGTCATGAATCTGCCGAGCCGCTGCCTTTAATGCGGGGTAAAAATATAAAGGACCATCGAAAACTAGATTTGGCTTTGACGAGCATTTCGACTTACAAGGGGATGGTCAGAAGTCGAAGTGGCCAATCCATACAAGCTGCATACCATTCGATGCAGCATAAAATGCTGATTTCAAATCTGTCTTCCGTATCTGCAGAGCGCCTTTGTAAGCAAAGTTATGATCAGCTTTAGCGCGAAAAAATCGTACACAAAAATTGCTAGATTAGGCACGTTATTGCCCTTTTCGCTCACCTTTAGGTACTGACCATATGAAGTGACCTAGTTGCATGTTTTGGTCTTGCACTGAGCCGGGTATGGCTCTGTACGGCCGAGTTTGCCCTTTACACACATAATTTCTTAGCAAAATAATGGCCTTTAACGGGTCATAATTTTGTCCACAAAAGCGCTCTTCAGATACGAAAGACAGATGTAAAGTCAGCGTTTTATGCTGCATCTAATGGTATGCAGCTTGTATGGATTGGCCACTTCGATTTCTGACCATTCCCTTGTTAGTAAAAAAAGAAACTTTGCGTTTTCATATCTAACTTCTTTCTTATCTTCTTCTTGATAACCACTACTTCCGAATTATGAGTTTTTTTTAAACAGTCACAAAAAATTAGCTTTTTCTCGTTCTTTCCCGTGTTGCGAATTGCTGTTCCTGAAGCAAAAATCTGCACTCGAAAAGCCGCCAAACGAAAGATTTCAAACCTTGTTACAGTGGTTTTCAGCAGTTTCTTTTGCAATTTATATCTGTTCACGTGTTTATTCTTCTCTGATCTTCTATAACAACCTTCACTTTTTATGAAGGCAACTTCAAAAACCTTCAATTTTGACGCCCTGTCTCTAGACTATCGGACGTATGGTCAAAACCACCAAATATGTCACAGCTCAGCTTTTAAATCAGTTCCATCACTTTTGGAGATCGAAATCAACTCGCAAAAACGTCTTCCGTTTTCTCAAACTTTTAGTCAGATTTTTCTCTTAAGAATAGAAAGGCTGGCGCGATGGGATGCAATATTGCAGCTCGGAGGGGCAGCCTTTCGAGCCGCGAGCTTAACTCCCTTATGCTGCGAACCTCGAATCATAGAACCTTGCGCATCCGCCGCCAACGTGCAAGGCGCATCTACCCGCTGCGGTCGCCTTCACAAATCCTCTACATTAAATGCGTTATACTAAACAACTAGAACACCAGAACACAAACAGTACTACCAAACTATACTAAACCAACGAAGGAAGCATCAACACACGAGCCGCATAGTAACCCGCGCTGCCAGCCTGTATAATAATGTCCTGGATTCCTCACATAGCGTCGGTAGCAGAAGCCATGTTCTGATGGGACGTTGCAGCTCCAGGTCCACTTCGCGGTGTCGTTTTACTACCACTCCAAGAAACTTTCTAACGCTATCGCGTGCCCAGTCCCGAAAATCAGAAAGTGAGGCCAAGCACGATATAACAACGAGTGAGTAAAATGGAAATTGAAGAAGCAACTGCCGCTATCGGCACGAGTAATTTCCCGGCAAATATATCTTACCTCAAAAACGACAGCGCTCGGACGTGGACAGTTGCCGCAAAGTGGGAAGTTCCAGGTGATTTCAGTGTTTTCTTCGCTCTTTCTTCCTTTTTAGGTATGCCTCAATCAACTAGGAGTAGACGGCTTAGGAAGCAGCTTCT